ACTAGTCGATTGCAACGAACTCGCCGGGCTCAGATTTTATGGAAATGTGCGTGCCTGGCTAATACGACCTTTCAACAGCTCTAAACGCCTACTTCCATAAAACACACGAGCCGAATAAACGACGAAGGCCATTTTGACAATTCGGTGTTGCAAAGAGTTTAATTGGTGGATGCAAAAAACCGTGCACTGCAGCATTCGAGGAGTCCTCTCTGAAAATGACATGAGCATGCTTGTCAGAAATTCTTTCACTAATCCATTGACAAGCGTCACGCTTGCCCTTTTCCTAAAGTACGGTACTCGCTCTAGCCAGCAGTTTCATATAAACTACTTTTTCCTCGAGAGAGGAAGTGGGCGCTATTTCCCTTGGCAGGAGGGGAGCCTTCTGAATTGGTATGAACGATATGAATCCCTTATAACAGACAAAAATAGCTTTGGTGGCAACGTAGCATGGGGTGGTTGTGTCATTGCAAAAAACTATTTTCTGTCGCGCCAAAGTTGCCCCTGATCAGCTACATGCCAAGTCCACGATCGGCTTCGCCGCGCATTTCTTCTTTCGTTGTGCCAGATTACGTGGTTCATGCCAAGGATATCTCTCTCTGTAGTAACGTAAATAAATTATTTCTCTGTGGGATGCTCTGTATTCAAGTTATGAGCCGTTGAATTCGGCCTTGCCTACCTCGGCACACGACCCGCGTGGTCCCTTGCGGGCGTGTCCCCATCTTGTTCCACTCCCTCTTGCTTCGACTTTTCCCAATCTTTGGAATGCTCTGAAGATAGACATATTTTTGCTACGCCCACCTCGGTGCACACTCTGCCCGTTCAGTGAAGTTCCTCCTTCTGTACACCGTCTCCTTGCTGACCTTCATGCACTTGTTCCCGGTATTCAGGCTGCTCAATCGCTTCCTGGGTTGTGGAATCGCACCGCTTATCTCAGCGCACGCACCGCCCATAGCGGGTGTACCTCCTATCTTCTTGTCCACTACTCCGTGCCGACCATTTTTTCCTAGTCTCTGGAGCGAGCAGGGGGAACGATGTTGTGGGTGAGGCACACCCGGCGTAAGTGCAGAAATGGGCGGGCAAAAACCAAAAATTCAAGACTCGGTTGCAGAGCAGCACCGGCAAAAAGGAAATCGAAGTCATATAAAGGGGTGGGGGCGACGCGAGACGGTTTGGGCAAACGCCATGTACGGCTTTTCATGAACCTCGGCAGGGATAATCGTAAGATTTCTTGATTGAGCTGCACATGAGGTTGTCAAATCACCTTTTTACTGGCTTAGTTTTGGCGGATCGCGCTTTTCTTTCAAGCCCTGAAAAGGAGCAAGTAGCAGTTTGGGCAAACGTGTTCAAAATGGACGTGTCGAACTTGATATGAGCGGATCTCGCCGTCATGCAGAAGTAACCATCTTTCTACTGAGTTTTAATGCACTAACAGACACTCTCTTAAACACCGGTCGCCAAGGCTCATTTAATACCAGACGGCTCATCGACTGACGCCGGCAAGTCTCCGTGCACTTCATCAACGCTCCTTACTACCTATGGATGGTAGTTGTGTTGAAAGTAGCAAATGTGATGTCACTGGTTAAAGTGGCTAAGAAGCATTGAATATGTGTACGGATGAGAGAAAGACTTGGATTGGTATAGTTCGCGAGAATAAGGTAGCGTGCGGAGAGCGGTGCGCGCCGGCGTACTGGGTACGCCAACTCAGGCACTAGACAGGCAAGGTAACAGGTAAGCACAAGATAACGAAGCGCAGGCTAATAAATTGTAATTACGCAACGGACACTTGTATAACACTGTATCTTACGCTAACACCATTGTTAGAATCGCGCTTTATACATTTAAGTGATCTGGATGCGATGTGAGAGTGATGCGAAATTTGCTGATGCCTCCTTCAGCCTCGTACAGAAGCTCTGTGTTGGCTTAATGCAAAGCGCGACACAACATTCCACAGACTACACCCACAACGCTTCATTTCTAACTATTCGCAGTTGTGCAACAGTATTTGAGCGAGAAGAGCACGATTCACTTTTACCTTCTTCGGACCAGAAATTTCTTGACAAGTGCTTCCCAAACCAATGCAAAATTTTGCTGCAAATTTTGTGATCAAAAAAGCAAAAAAAGAGCGCTGCTAACCAAATCCTGAGCGACAAAAGTGCCTGGTTACGAGCATGACATTGCGACTTACAACAGTTGAATGTTCAGTTTAGCGGGCTTGAGAAACCGTTTTTGTCCCACTCTGATCACAACTAAACGGAGCACAGCCAAAGTGCTTAAAGCAAGGGAAACAGTGGGATGGCTTGATCCTACGCTGACAACGACATATTGAAATACACCAGTCTTCCTTGACTCAGACGAAAACCATGTATTGCGTGGTGTTTCTGCATTTAATGCCTGGTGTTTTTTCGAAGGCCTGTGAGAGGAGAAGACAGATGTAGCAGGTTAGAAGAGGAAAACTTGCGACTTTTCAATATTGTTAATCATACACTTCCAATATTTGTTCGAGGTGAATGCGCTTGTCCATTACGCGCAATTGAATAGCTGCAACGCATTTGCAATCGTGAGCGGGCCTAAGCAGTGGCAAACGAGGTGTGAGACTTGCCCACGGGGCCTATTACGCTGACTTATAAATGGGCTAGATCTCCTTGGCTTTGGACAAACTTATTTTATCATACATCTGTTTCTTGGTGAATTGAATACTCAAATTTCCAGAAAATAAACAACACATAACAGTATAAGTGGGCATTCGAACCTCAGATTCGAAGTAGAGGTCAAATACAATGGACGTAGCCAACGAGGCTGACAACCCATTGAGCTTTACATTCTTTTCAGTACGATTTGAAAAACTGCTTAGGGTGAGCAACAACTCAGTAGAGCACAAATTTGAGAAGCA